TCAGACGCGAAACTCAAACCCTACCCTTCTCCGAGAGGGCCAGTTTTCTCCCACTTTCTTTCAAACATATTCAGATGTACCAACATCTTAACTGAAGACTAAACTCAGGGGACGGTGTGCATTCCATTTTTTCGTCCCACCTAGGCCTTGGCTTGATTTTCTACACCAAAATCTGTGTCTTCCTTGATGTCTAAAAGTGGAAAAGATGGGACCCTTTAGGGGCGGTCATTTCTGTTTGTTTTTAGATGGTTTTCACTGCTGGTAACCCTTCTACCTTAGCCTCCCCACTGGGACTCCCGGTGCCTGGCCTGGGAGATAATGTTTTCCTTTTCTCAAGGATGAGAAAGGAGTTTATGCCCCACCCAGCAAGCTCTCCTGAACACAGTGTGACATACCTACCTTCGTACAACGAAAAACTATACCTCCATTTCTCATGAGCAAAATGGAAATACGCTGATTGTTCGGAGGCCTGAATGTGAAATACTGAGGAGAGAGCCGTATCGTAGACGTCATATGAATTATCGGTTATTGTACCCGTGGGATCGAACACTAGTATCCCGAGTGTGAGCAGGCACTTTATATGGTCCACTGTGAGGCATTGCATTTTTTAAAGCAGCACAGATTGACAACCTGAAAATAACGTAAAATAAGTCACATCCTTACTTCTGATCTTCAGCCGGGCCTGAGGGTAGGAGGTTGGTATCGCCACCAGAACAGAGCCTGTGGTTGTCAGACACCTCCGGGACTGCCCCCAGGACATTGGGTACACAGCCCCCAAGTTCACGGCTCACGGTGGCTGATGATGTGCACAGGTGTGGAAGAAGAAACAGAAAGCAGGCACAGTGACAGCACAGAGAAGACTCTTTGGAGTAAAGCGAAAACAACAACAATATCGCCCACATTTGTTGACTGCTCACTAAGGGCCGGCCACTATGCTAGGCCTGCACTCTCTGCACAGCAGTGCTGTAAATGTTAGTTTACGTCACCACGAGGTGCTGTTCTTGATATCCTACTTCTGTGTCTGTTTTACAAATAAGGAAACTAGAACTCAGAGAGGTTAACTTACTAAACGGAAGCCACACAGCTTCTAGGTGGTAGGGCTGGAAACTCGCACAGAAAAGATGTCTGTCTGATTAAAGAACCCAATCACTCAATTAAGAGCCAATGTAACGTTGACCAGATGCCCAACTCAAAGGGCTGGAGCTGGCAGGTTTTCAGAAATGGGAAGCGCCGGGTAAAGTAAGGGGCAGATCAATTCTTGATACACATTTTGCTATCTGCTTATGACATGAATATTCATCCTTAGAACAGCAATCCTGTGTACGCTAGCTGGGGGAAAGATCTTGTAAGTTACCGTGTTTGTGGTGTTTTTTATCCACTCGTTGTCTATGTGCTAGGACTCAATTGTGTATTGTTACTACAGATTTAACGAGTCCCTGTTACCCAGGAGCTCACAGGCCAATGTAGACCAACCTATTTTTGTTTATTTTTAGAGAGATTTTTGCTACAGAACATGTGCGCTCGCCAGAAAGACAGAGAAAGACAGAGAGACAGAAAGTGAGAAATTACACTCCAGGGGAATGGCCACACCGCAACCTCTTCTCCTCCATTCTCCTCTTAGGATCTTGGGCATGCACGCACACGTGCCTGGCGTGAGTTTAAGCGACCGGGTCCGGGACTCGAACTGCAGTGGACTACATAGGAGTCCAGCAACATAACCATTATGCCAGTGCTGGTCCCAAGTGTAGACCAACCTTTACAATGTCATGAGAGCTACTATGTGCTTCATTATGAGAAGAAAACCTGCTATGCCTGAAGGACAGAAAGCAGAGGTTTCCTAGAGAAGGTAGCCCTTGAGGTGGCTCTTGAGAAGGGAGCAGGAATTTGTCAAGTGCAGGAGGGCTGGGGAGAAAGGCATTGCGGGCACAGAACTTGCATTGCCTATTACTCTTCCCCCAAATCCACACTGTTACTGTCTATCTTAAAATTCTGTTTGCTAAACATGCTTCTTACTAGGAGCAATGCTACTTTCCAAAGGATACGCACGATTGGTCTTGGGATGCAGAATCAGGCAGGGTGTGGCGCTGATAACCCATCAGTACACGTGCTAACCACACACTCCTCTCTCATTGGCTCCAACTCCTTTGCCCAGGCAGCCTCCTGCCTTATTTTGAGCCTTGGGATTCGGGGCTCAGTCAGCGCCTCTGTTTCTCAGATGTGCTCTTCACTGGAGTAGATTTTTCTCTCTATTTCTGCGTGTGCAGTCCTCCTCTCTGGCAGTGTCCACTCCCTGCTGTTCTTACCGCACAAGGAGGCTGATTAGTGCCCCATAAATTATAGCCAGCCTCACAAAGTCTAGGGAGCCCTGGACCCATTGTGTCTCTACGGAAGTAAATTATGTAGCAGTCAGTGTACATGACTCAGAGGTGACGGTGGTGGCGTGAAGACTGGCCCTGGAACAGTCTGTCTTGGGAAAATATAACCAGCCCAGGCTTGCAGTAGACTCTGCTCCAAGGTGCGTTTTAACTGCTCCCCAGGTGCTGTGGTTCCAAGTCCGATCTCTTCCGCTGTCCTGCCTTATCAATGGCCAGTGCGGTTTAAAAATTGATGCTCTCATTTGGTGCTGCCTCACCTCTGCAGTGGGAGGTGTAGGACAGTGCGGTCTAGTAAAGTGAGCTGGGTCTGCACAGATTTGCATGTGAGTTCTACTCATCAACCTTTGGGACTTCTGTTTCCTCTTCTGCCACTTGGGGATAGCAAAAGCAACTCTGAATTGTTAATCCGTCCATTTGAATATGTAGCAGAAGGCATCAGGGCCCTAGATTCCGATATCCTACCCCAGGCTGCCGGAACCTGCCCCAGGTGTCATATTCCCACCTCAGGACACAGGGCCCTTCACTCAGTTGCTGTGGCTAAGGTCTCCTTCTATTAGATTCTTTTCTCTCCTGCCACCCTCACAGCTAATCTGATGAGCTCTGTCTGACCAGCCTCCAGCATGCAACCCCATGGGGGTACAGCTCAGGAGTAGAGCATTTGACTGCAGAATGCAACCCCAGTGGGCTCACTCTCCTTAGCTGAAGCCTCCATCAGTTCAGTTGTGTCCCTGCAAAGTCTCCTCATTCCCCTCCCAGCAGTTGCTCTCACCACTCCAGCCCCCTCTCATCTCCACTGAACAGTCCAGATGGCCTTTCAAACATAAATAAGTTAAACAAATAGATCATATGTTTTCTTTGTTAACAACCCTCTGATGGCTACATGTTACTCTCAAAACCCATTTGTTGTTGTTTTCTTTTCTTTTCTTTTCCTTTCTTCTTTTTTTGAGAGATTTCTGCTATATGGCACGTGCGCTCTCCAGACAGAAAGACAGAGACAGAGAGAGAAAGAAAGTGAGAAATCACCCCCCAGAGGGAATGGCCACGCCGCAATCCCTTCTCCTCCATTCTCCTCTCGGGATCTTGGGCACGCACACACATGTGCCTGGCGTGAGTTTAAGCCACTGGGTCCCGGACTCTAACTGCGGTTAGCTACATGGGAGTCCAGCGACATAGCCATTACGCTAACTGCTGGTCCCTGTTGTTTTCTTTTTTAACCATGAATGGGCCCTCCATGACCTGGCTCCAACCTACCACTCCTCCCTCAACACTGATTCTACTGACCTCAGAATTCTAGAACATTCCAAGCATGTTCTACCTGAAGGCCTTTGTTTTTGCTGGCCTCCATGGCTGGATCAGTCCTGTCTGGCTTGGCTGGCTTCATTTCAGCAGCCAAATATCTGGGGACATGTTAACTCTTCAAGGCTGTCCCTGACAATCTCAGAGAGCTTCCTCCCCTGTCACACTGTAGCTCCTGTCGGCGGAAAATAACCAACTCTAAAAAAATAATAATTAATAATTAATGCAGTTTATTTTTAAGCAGAATATGAGTGACCTAGGCCTAGAGAGGAGGTGAAACATGCCTTTCTCTCGGGGTGATTAGATATAGGGGTTCCTTTGATTTGATTTTGAGAGTGAGAGACAGTTTGGAATTTAGTGAAAAGTTTTTCCCTTGGTCTGGTCCAAAGAGGCGGGGACTTGTGGAAGCGGGGGCTTGCAGGGTATAGGTGGGGTTTACAGCTTTTAGGGTGGTGATTGGAAATGGAAAGTTGCTGAGATGGAAAGGAAGGTACTTTCACAGTGGTAAGGAGGCTTGATATACATCTCAGAGATACTCCAGGACTATGCCAGGGGCAGGATGTAGCAAGAATCCTGATACTAATCAGCCAGAAGGGTCTGTCAGCATTGTGGGTGTGACCTCCCCTAGGCCCTCTGGAAAAGACTGGGAAAATAGGAAAAAGCAGCAGACTTCTGTCCACCCTGCTTTGTTTCCTTCATGGTGCCTGTCCCTGTAGCCAATCAAGCTGCGTGCTGGCTTACTCACCATCAGCTCCCCTGGGAAAGGAACTCCTTCCGGGAGGGCCCTTGTCTGTCTTACTCAGCGTGATAGTAACAGACAGGATCATCAAATGAGTACAGGACACAAGTGAAATTTGATTTTCAGGTTTTTTTATTTTTTAGTATAAAAATACTGTATCGGTCATTGTTACACTAAAAAATTTGTCTAGAAATATCAATAATAATGTTGAATGTAAACTTCCTTGATTTAAACAGAAAGATCAGTAACACTGTAAATTCAACAGAAGAGAGATTAATTACATTAAACTGAGTTGATGAAATAGAATTCTATGACTTTTGCCTAAAATATTACTGATTTTCTTCTATTTTTTTTGTCTTCCAGATTTAAGGATTGTTGTTTTCTTTTGAGGTGTTGATAGATTCAGCAATTTGTTAAAATTTTGCTTTTTGAAATTGAAACACAAACTTTTCTCCCTTTCTGACTCCTCTGGAACTGGAAAATATTTGTGAGCATTCTTATTTGTGGCAGTGTGGTTATTTGCATATGTTCGATAATACCTGTAGCCTACCATTAGACATTGGAAATAATGGCTACTGTCAGGGCTTTGACTGGAATGTCACATCTGAAGATATGACCAGAAAGCTGAGGAACTAAGATGATCTCAAAAAAGCCAGCAGAAGCTCTTGGAAAGATTGCCTGGAACTATAAGCACTTCTGCCTGGCAGGTAAGTAAAGAATGTCACTTCCCGACAGGTCCAAAAGACTGTCAAGCACAGGTACCGAAAGGCACAGTCAGAGGGTGAGTTCCTGACTTGGCTCAGTACCTAGAGAGTCTGATCAGAAGTTCCTTATACAGCGTCCCAGCAAAGCCCACTAAATCAGTTAGTATTCTTGCGGGGCTTTGTGCAAATAACAGACCAAATTGAGACTAAACTATTTGTTTATTTGCAAAATAATTTAGTTTATGACTCTCTTTAGTAAAAGGGGGAATGGAGAGAGGAATAAAAAAGTTTCAGAAGAAAATTACCATGCACCTGTTACTAGAGTAAGCAAATTCCTTTTTTTTGATTTCGATAAAACTAAAACTACTTTTCTTGAAATTAAAAAAATACATAAAAATGAACAAACAATAAATAAAAAACATACCTGCCTAATGACTGTAGTAAGCTATATAGCCCCAGCTAGGTGCTACTTTATAGTACATTCATTCTACTCAAATCAGACTTATGTTCATAGATAAGTTTATACCAACTGCACGCACTATTGAAAGTATTTAGTTTAACTAAGATCTTTTGGGAATCAATTAAATGTGAAAAAAAACAAAAACAAAATCAAAAACAAACATGGAAAGCAACTGTAGATACCAGAGACCGTGTTGGAGGAGGGTGGGAAACGGCAGCGGCTGAGAGAAAGGGAATCAAGCGGGGAGGAACTAAGTACTATATATAAGAAACAAGAAGTGGAAAGTTATTTGTTGAAGACACATGTATGGTGATATTTTTGATTGAGCCGATATACAGTGTATTCTGGATAGGAAAACTCACTTTGTATGCTACAATGACATACAGTGAATGAATGTAAAATAAATATATTTAAAATAAAAAAAGTTATTTGTTGCTTCTGTATGTGTGGCCACCCTAGCTGGCACAGGGCTGTCATCTCTGGTGGTGTTTAACGAATGCTTGCTGAAGCCCAGCCTCTGTGGCACGGCCAGCAGCGTGTGAGACTGTGGAGCCAGAAGCTCAGGCCTTGCAGAGTGCAAGTCCCTGGCCCAGCAGTTCTGGAAACACGAGGTGTGTGCATGGCACCAGAGATCCTGGCGGGCTGGCAGACCCAAGGACGGGGGTCAGAGCGTGCCTGAGTCCTGTGGAGAGTGCCACCCGCACCTTGTGTGTGTGTACATGTTCTATCATGACCTCAAAAATAAAAACAGAAAAAGAAGTACTTGTTGAAAGAAAGAGTGAGTGAACAATGAAAGATGACCATAAAGCCAAACCTGCAAACTGAATTTCTCTCGTCTTTTCCTTCATCTTAGTGCCTGTCAAGGCTTGACTCGCGGCAAGTGCTCAGTAAGTGCTGAGTAAAAGGAGAGGCGCGGGTACTCAGTATGCGCTATTTCCCCTTCATATCAAGGGGTAACTTCAAAAAGTTCATGGAAAATGCATATGATGAAAAAACTGCATGGATTTTTAATTTTCTGCACCAAAAGAAACTCATATTTTAATTCCATTTTTTTTTCAAAATTTCTGAAGTCCCCTCATGTTGTTAGTGTCATTTAATTTGCAGAACAAGAGACTTTCAATGTTAAGCAGCTAAAGATGACAGGAGACCAACATTTACAGTGTAATGAGACCCACAGGAGAAGAAAGCTTGCTCCGTTCGAGGGAGTGTGGGAAGGCTTCTTAGAGGAGATTACGAGGTGGCTCTTGAGAAAGGAGCGGGAATTTGTCAAGTACATGGCGAGGGGGCATTCCAGTCACAGAACGTTGCACTTTCTATACTCCTTCTCCAAATCCTCATTGTTATTTCCTGTCTTAAAATGCTTAGGTATTTGGGACCAGCAGTTAGCGTAATGGCTATGTTGCTGGACTCCCATGTAGTCGACTGTGGTTCGAGTCCTGGACCTGGTGGCTTAAACTCTCGCCGGGCGTGTGTGCGTGCGTGCCCAAGATCCTGAAAGGAAAATGGAGGAATTGTGGCGTGGCCATCCCCGCTGGGGGGTGATTTCTCGCTTTCTGTCTCTCTGTCTCTCTCTGTCTCTCTGGCGAGCACATGCACCATATAGCAAAAACCTCTCAAA